CCCTCGTCCAAAGCCCCTCTCCAGGTTTCTTAGTGAAGGTACTTTTCTGCTCAAGCCTTGAGGCAGAACCCGGGACCTCCTGAAAGCAGCAGGTTTGGATTTTCCTCCAGCAAGATGAGGGAAACAGAAGCTGTCCAGGGAAGTGACTCAGTAAATGCAAGCTTGCTCACAACTCAGGCTAAAGGACACAGCACTGCACCTTTAGACACACAGACACAGGTATTTCTTTGGACACAGGTCATGCTTTATTCTAATGTCTGCTTGCCATTATTCCAGCCTTGGCATAGGGACCACGCCAGGATAGGAGTTACCAAAATAAGTTACATTAAAAATGATTACAAAGCATTGTTTTCTGGGAAAACACCCAGCACTTCCCAGCCCTCTTTTAATAGCAGGATATCCTGTCACTGGCAAAAGCTGCCTCAGTTATCAGCTTCCTAATGGCTGCAAAGCATTTACTGCATGGAGTTACTCACACACAAACAGATCATCCCTGAAGTCAAGATAATCCCCTTGCAAACTGGCAAGCTTAAAAGAAAATCCAGCCTTCCTCAGTGTGTCTCTATGAAAGAAAGTGTTTGACCCATAAGAAGAAGTCCCTTTTTGAGGCAGCCTCTTCCCCCCGCTGCCCCGATCCGGGGCTGAGCCTCGCTGGAAGCACAAGAGGCAGAAAGGAAGTTAACCTGTAACATAGATGTTTAAACTTGCAGGAGGAGGGAAACTCTCCAAGGCGAGGCACATCCTCCTCAAGAGCTCTGCAGCTTGGATGCATTAAACCCAAATCCAGCATTAAACTGCAGCTGAGATCACTGCTTCTCTCCCGCAGCTTGGTTCAAGCAGGAAACACCCATTCGCACATATCTGGGCTGGCTTCAGAAGCCAAAGTCCAGTGAGGGCCCCATCTTCCCTTTCAGTGCAGCAGCAGGATTTACAAGGAAGAGTAGATCAAGATAAGGAATCACCCCCCTTTGGTCTGAGTCTCCTTCCAAACTACATCTTACTGTAAGCTCAGTGAGGGAGCGGGAGGCACTTCTGGCACACGATTAAAAGACAAAGTGGTGTTTTAGCCAGGGAGCCATGGCCAGGAGAGCTGGAATTGTTCAGAGACCTTCCTCTGGTGCTTTCGTCTTTACCTCCTCTGCAGCCAGTGCCACCGCTGTGTCTTTCTCTGCCTTCTCTTCCAGCTTCTCTAGCACTTCACACCCTTCCTTTCCCAGGATCTCGTGTGCTCCCTTTGGTTCTTCAGGTGTCTTAACCCCCTCCTTTGATGATGTGGCCTTTTCCAGCACAGGTGATTTTACTGGAGTCACCAAATCTTTCTTCTTCTGCTTTCTGCTCCCCTGTGACACATTAGCTACTGCCCTGAAGGGCCCCACAACCCAGTTTAGAGGAGTGTGCTGAGTTACATACTCAAAGAGTTCATCTAGGGACCTTCGGGCTTCTGCCACACGGTCCTGGCTCTGGGTCAGGATGGTGCTGGAGAGGTCCTCGAAAGACACAGCACTGGAAAAAGATCTGTGGAGCTTGTGGATATTTCGAGTGGCCTGATACACAGCTTCTTGGATGTTGCTGGGGAGGCCCTGGATGCTGGCTTTCAGGTTCTCATAAACAGGTTGTAGCTGCTGGGTGATGATATGCAGCATAGTTAGAGTCCGTGACTCCACCTGATGGGAAAGAGATAGAGCTCAGTTACTAGAGCAGGTGAGATGCGCCAAGAGGCCTGGTTAAATACACCCTTCTAGGGATACCTCTACTTGGGAGGCAGTTTTGACTTGGTTTCCTTTGGGTTGGGTCAGGCTCCAGTCCACCCACAGCTGATAGAGCTTCTCCTGCCCATCCAGGAGCTTCTGGCCAACCTCCCCTTTCACAGATTCAATCTGATGGGAAAAAACGAGAGGAAGAGCTGGATTGCAAGCACACACAATCAGAGCAGCACCAGTGCTTCCCTCCCAGGGAGGGATCCAAGGTGACAGGCAGCTGGTACAGGATGGAGGAGGAGCTTCCAGCTGGAGAGTAGAGCGGGAAGGCTACAGAGGCAGGAGGAAAGAGGGAAGAGCAGGTTTGTACCAGTTTTATTGCCAGCTGGAGCCGTGAGAGAGTCTCCTGGGTGCTCTGCCTGACACGCTGCAGTTTGGCCAGGGAGAGGTGGTAGGCTCGGCGCCGCACTTTGTTAGACAGGGAACCCAGGCGCACAAAGTAACTCTTGTTCTGCCTCTGCTCCTCCACAGAAGCCATCCCAAATCCCTCAGAGGTGGCCAGTTTACCTGGAGGGAACAAGAAGAGAGCTGTAGCCGTGCTCCACTTGCCCGGCTGGAAGGGGAGGAAGAGGTAAGATCACCCATTGAAAATCAGGAAGGCTGAAGCTTGCTGTGCAAGCAGGAGAGGTTGATAGTTGCTCAGGTGTTAAAGGCAGGTTAGTCCCTGCTCAACGTGTTCTCTTCAGATAAGCAGACTTGACAGATTGGTTGGAGCATGTACCCACGTGTCTATTTGCCTTCGGGCTGATGGGCAAGGACCAGCTAGCAAATGCTTGCTCTGTCCCATGCCACATGGCAAGCCAGCGTTGGTGACACTCAGAGCTACCTGGCTTCTTCAGAAGATTAGCCTTGCAGTGTCAGGTGCTCTCTAGTCACCCACTCAAGGACTTGCATTTACAACCGCCAGCCAAGTGTTTTCTCACCTAGTTCCTCCTCTGTCATGGGGAGGTAGTGATCCACCAGGTCTTCTGACATACCCAGGACAGCTTCCACACCACCTCCCACCGCTTGGCTCACTGCTTTGGCTTTGCTTATGCTGTTGGTCACCACCGTGTTGGTCATTTCCACACCCTCCTGGAGAGCCTCTCTGCCCTGCTCCAGGGCTGTATTTATTTTGCTAGTAATGCTGCCATATGCAGCATCCAGAGCTGTACTGACTGTGGAAGCAACCACTGATTTGGTCTTCTCAACACCATCTTGAACAGCCCCTTTGGTTAGGTCCATGGCTTCAGTCACCTTGTTGGTCACAAGGTCCTTGGCACCCTGGGCAGCCTCTACAGCAGCAGTAATAGTAGAAGCTACAGCAGACTTGGTCCGTCCAACGCTGTCTTCTACCATGTGTTTACTTAGGTCCACTGCTTCGGTCACCTTGTTGGTCACTAGGTCCTTGGCACCCTGGGCAGCCTCCACAGCATTGACAATAGTAGAAGCTACAGCAGACTTGGTCCTTCCAACGCTGTCTTCCACAATATGTTTACTGAAGTCCACTGCCTCTGTCACCTTATTAGTCACTAGGTCCTTGGCACCCTGGGCAGCCTCCACAGCATTGACAATAGTAGAAGCTACAGCAGACTTGGTCTGTCCAATGCTGTCCTCCACCATGTGCTTACTGAGGTCCACTGCTTCAGTCACCTTGTTGGTCACGAGGTCCTTGGCACCCTGGGCAGCCTCCACTGCTTCGGTCACCTTGTTGGTCACTAGGTCCTTGGCACCCTGGGCAACCTCCACTGCTTCAGTCACCTTGTTGGTCACTAGGTCCTTGGCACCCTGGGCAACCTCCGCTGCTTGCTGCTTCAGTCACTTTGTTGGTCACTAGGTCCTTGGCACCCTGGGCAACCTCCACAGCATTGACAATAGTAGAAGCTACAGCAGACTTGGTCTGTCCAATGCTGTCCTCCACCATGTGTTTAGTGAGGTCCACTGCTTCGGTCACCTTGTTGGTCACTAGGTCCTTGGCACCCTGGGCAGCCCCCACTGCTTCGGTCACCTTGTTGGTCACAAGGTCCTTGGCACCGTGAGCAGCCTCCACAGCACTGCTAATAGTGGAGGTGACCACTGACCTGGTCAGCTTGACACTGTCCCCAACAACATTTTTAGTGAGGTCCACAGCTTCAGTCACTTTATTGGCCATTGCTTCTTTTGCCTCGCAGGCAGCATCCATAGCAGATGTCACTTTGGTGGAAACCAGCTGCTTGGTGTCCGAGATTACCTACAACAGGGAGAGGCAGAGAAAGTGACTTTGTTTTTCCCTGGAATAGGTTTTCCCTCCCTGAAGTAGCTTTTCCATATGGCTAAATTGTGCTTGCAGCCTTGTGGGAGAGCGGGGGAGTCTGTACACTGTATTTACATGGACATGCTGAAGGCATCTCTCCAGCTTTCATCAGCTCATAGTACCTCCTGTAGCCCATCCCAGGGCCTGAGCTGACAAAGCAGTGCTGCTGGAGTTTATTTCCCCACATTCTTCTGCACCCATAACAGTTCCATCAAGCAAGAGACAAGTCATGGCTTCCCATAAGGAAAAGCCTTTCCTTTACCTTATCTGCTGGCTGTTGAAGAAAAGGCAAGTTCTCCTCCAGCTGATCCAGTCCTTTACAGGCATATTCATTTACAAGTGCAACTGGAAAATACAACAGGTATTAGTTTATTCTTCAGTTGGGAGAGGGGCTTTTGACCTTACAATGGCCAATACTGGATACTCATGAAAACAAGCTCCCCCCCAGATCATCTTTCTGGGCTGGGGTGGCTTGTTGGAAGAGTGGATAAACCCTACAATTAGGCAGCTTTAAATAGCCTCCATTTTGCCTTCTCAGCTTTGTAGCTGTTGGCAGCACACTGGAGTATAATACTTGCCCTGGGTGGGTAGGACAATCAATCTAAAGGGTTGAGAAGTGTTGGGATGAGCCAGACTGAGCTATATCCAAGGCAGACACTGCTACTACCAGTTGGGATGCTCATAGCTTAGAGAGCTAAAGAGCAGGGGGGGTTTGGTTGGTGATTTAAAGGAAGCACAGACAAGAGTCCAATCTTTGTTTTGGCTGTTAATGTGGTGTCCATTGAGCTGCCGAGTGGAAGACTCAGTGCTACGATTAACTAGAACAATGTGCTATAGGAGATAGATGTCACTCAACAGGCACATGAAGCTCCCTCCCCACCTCCTCCTCTGTGTAGAAAGGGTCACTCTTCACTTACTTTGGGGCTCAAGCTGGTTCAGGATGGGCTGTGCCCCACCAACCACGCTGCCTACTGCAACAGCAGCCACAGTCTCAGCCACGCTGCAGACACCGCTGAGGCAAGGATGAGTCTCCTTGGTATAGTTGTAGGCAGATGAGACCAGGTTAAATGCAGAGTTGAGCAAGGGCAAGCTGGTTACTCGATTGACAGCACTCTAAACCCCAAGAGAAAGCAATGACATTAGAGACCCAGCCTCAAGCTGTGAGTGAATACAAGCCATGTGTCTATGCAGAAAGGTCCTAAGGAGATAGCCAGTTCATCTCCTCATCCTTCTTAAACTCAGAGCTGGAGAGACTCACCCAAAAAGTGATAGCAAGTCAGTGACGAGCCAGGATGAAAAGTTCAAGCTCTGGGCTCATGAATTCTGAGTCACTCTGAGTTTCAGCACCAAACCCAGATGTGAAAATAGGACCTGTAACAGCTCATGTTTCAGAATTACTTGAGCCAGCCCTGAGGTTCTCTTGAGCTTCTGTATCAACCAAGTTTAGATTTAGCCACAGCTCCATATTGTTAGTCTTTCTGTTACTCCCAGCCTGGTTTTGGGGTGCGGATGGACATCAGCTCACTAGTGTATCTCAGCAGGGAGTTTAACAGTGGTATGTTAGTTCTGTCTGCCCTGGCACCTACCGCTTGCTGCTGTTCCTCAGCCTTCAGCAGATCCTTTTTTGTGGTCTTCTCTGATGCCATAGTGAATTCAGCTGCAGCTGAAAGGAGAAACAAGAATAGAACAGCACGAGTACAGCTTCATTTCCTCCAGTGAACCCAAGGCCTAGCAAAACTGCTGAAAAGCAGGGAGCACCAAAGTTGGGACCCACCATTCAGCATGGCCTAGGAACATCAGTGTGGCATCACTCATCTTGGAAGGGCAAAGATATTTAAGAGCCTTCATGATTTGTGATGTGCAAATACTCATAGAGGACGTGGACTATACTCAGTCACCTCCTCAATCCCCAAATGCTTTAAATACCCATCCTACTTATTTTATTGCTGATAACATTTACCTGGCTTCAAAGTAGCAGGTTAGAAGTGGGTGAGAACTCTCTTAGCTGTCCTGCACTGTGTGTGGGGTGGGTTGACCCGGTCTGGATGCCACGTGCCCACCAAGCTGCTCTATGGAGAGCAAATGTAAGTGAGGAATCACTGAATGTTGTCTCACTCAATTACTGTCCTTCTACAAGCCCTGCTGAAATGCAGCTGCAGCAGGGCTGGTTATTACAGTAATCTAAATAGGTTGAGTTTTCAACATGTGGCAAGTTCAAACAGTTTAAGAATGGAGCTTAAAACCAGAAATATTTGATTTGAGAAGAGCCAAACCTGTCTAAACTTGCTTAATCCCCTTTAAGGGGCCAAAGCTCTCAGAATCCCCCCAGTTTTGAAGTAGAGATGGTTCTTTTCAAATGTCTTCCTCCCTTTGCCTCTTTGGGAGAAGAAAAAGAAAAGAGACTGGCAAGACTTCAGCTCCCCTGCAGAAAGGTGGCAGAGACTGACCAGAGATGCTGAAGCAGCAATGGGCTTATTTCACCTTCAGTGTCGATAGCCCCTTTCCCCTGGAATATCCTTTGCAAAGGCTATTTAGTCACCCCACTGGGCCCGTGTTCATGGTGGGGAACTTCTGCCAACTTCCCCACCACTACCAGCTCCAGCAACAGGGGCAAACGCAGCTCAGGGAGGGAGATGAAGATCCTTTGAAGCTTTCCTGGTGTTCTCATCCTGCTGCCCAGCGAGGCAGGAAATCTCTCCTCACTTCCTGTGAAACCAAGCCTCAGAAGTGTTCTCATGACATCACGGGATTAAAGAACTTCAAGTATGAAAATGATGCAATATCTTGAGTGGGTATTGGCTTCCCCAGCATCGACTTAGGTCGGTATCTGGGCATTCCAGTATCGGGTGATAATCCAGGGTTGCTTCTCTATCCGTAGCCAGGCACAGCAGGACTTCAGCATATTTGTTCTTCAGTGCAGCATCTGCTTTTCTCTCCCATGCCAGTTAATCCCTATTCTTAGAACTGCTGTGGCATTTCCCAGTGGAAAGCCCCCAAACCAAAATTCCTCACAAACTGGATTCCCAAGCCAAGCACTGCTCCAGGCTCACTGGAAGACTCTACCCCCCAAAACTTGCCATCTGATTCAGGAAGAGACCATTGTCTTGTTTCTTGTCTTCTTTGACTTGTGTAAGGGTTCTATTTTCCTGTGGAAACAGGAACAGAGAGCTGGAGAAGAAGTAGTGAAACAAGCATTTGTTAGCCCTGGCCTTAGGCTAGGGTCAGAGGAGGCTTCTCAGGAGGTAACTTGGCAGGAGGATGAACACTGCAGCATAAACCATGCAATTAGTCAGCATTTTAGTGGGACATGGAGAGCTCCATGTCTGCAGCAAAGTGGTCCCAAAAGCTGGGACCTCCAGCATCTCAAGTGAGAGGCTCTGTGGTAACCACCCTGCCCAGGGGGCTCCTGGGTTTAACAGCACTGCAGAAACACAGCTTGAGCTTGATGAGCCTGGGAGAACTGCTCCACACAAAAGCAGGGCTTGAACATAGTCCCAAAGCCCACAGGCTTTGCTCAATCAGTGCTTATTCTTCTTGCTCTGCTTTAGGGCAAGTTTGTTGGGTTTTGGAAGCCAAGAAGGCTGAATCAGCCTGCATCAGTCTGCAGCCCTGTCGCAGGGCAGAGCACAGCTATTTCCACACCACTGCAAACAACCCCTTTGCTCGGAGTAAACCACTTCTAGGTAGGTGGGAGAAGCTCAACTGCAGAGCATCTGACTCTCCTTGGTGTCAGGGTTAACACACAGACACACCACAGCAAAGAAAGGAGAGGACTCTGGTTGCTACCATAAGTCAGAATAACTCCTCACCTGATGGAAAAAGCTAGTTTAAGGTTAGAACCAACCTCTGAAGTACTAGAGCCTATCTTAATTATGGATGCAGCTGTGTCTGATAATCCTTGCAGCACAGTCATGTTAGAACATGGTTTGCTCTCCTCCACGTAGGAGGAATTAGGTGTGTTGCAATGCCAGTATCTGTGGTGGATGAGCCCACAGCACGGGTTTAGTTTCTTTTTTCCCTGCAGGAAAGCACAGTGCTTGGTCCTTCCAGGTGGGTTGATTCAGAATCCTTTGGAGGAAGGCACAGTTTCAAGCCAGGGTAGTTGCAAGCGGGAATCCCAACAGAGAGACACCACACGTGTGGGGGAACCACCAGGCAGGAGAACAGAAACAGCATCACCATTTGCTTTGGATGTAAGATGACAAGCAGGTGGTTTCATACTGTTGCTACATCAGAAATAACCAGGTCACTACTGGAGAAAGTTGAAACAGGCAGTTCCAGAAAGATGAAACTCTTCAGCACACGTTTCTAGCATGGCAAAATAGCTCAGTTGCTGGTCATTGCCCTCTTTGGCACAAGTCTGGACTGGGTGAACCAGCAAGAGCAGCAGGTCCGACTGTCACAGCCACTGCCTGGCAGCAGGACAAGTCCCTTCCTGCTGGGGCTTGATTCCTGTCACCCTGACAGTGACCATCACACCCAAAACTAGTCCTTTAACTTGGGTAAGGCTTTTATTTTCCTCTGGGAAGCAGCTCTGCCCCGTGAAGATGGGATCGTGGTAGGTTGTGCTGCAGACAGGAGGGAGGGTCTTGTTGTTTAGGAAGCTTTTCTCCTTTCCAAAAGTGTTTTACCCCGGGAAAACAAATTGAGCCATAGCTGCATGCCTGCTCAATAGCTTAACTGGCAACTCCTTAATGACCCTTTAGGAAAACAAAGCTGAAGGAGTGCTTTAGCTATGAGCAGGGAGGGCTAATCAGGGCTCATTGGTGGTGAAAGCACTTATTTACATTCTTCTCGAGATTTGCCACTGATACCCCAGTTACTAGAGCTGCAGAACTGGGTCACAGGGTGGCTGCTGCGGTGGGAATGGCACTGCCCTCAGCCAAGGGAGGCCTCTCTAGATGCTCTGAGGGCACAGCTTGCTTCAGGAAGAGGATCAGATCATCTTCAGCCTTGACCTTAGGACATCCGCTTTGGAATTGCTGGCGGAGGTGCTCATCTAACCTTTCTGGAAAGCCATCAGCATTAGGGAACCTCAAAGATTAAAGCCACGCTTTCAAGAGAAATCAAGCACCACAGCCAGTGGCTGTAGGTCAGTAACTCCTTGGGACAGAGTTACCATAAGCTATCCAAGGTACTAGAATTTGGAGGAACTTCAGGAAAGAGGAAAGGGGGTTTAATTAAAACAGCTTCTCAACTTCCCAGTGCTTCCCATTTCCCATCTTTCCATGAGTGCAGACCTCAGCTTCAGACAGAGGCTGTAACCTGCAGAGCAAGCAGCAGGCTGCTCTTTAACATGCATTTCCACCTGGAAGTTTCAGCAGAACCAGCTTCAGTAATTGAAGCCCTGTGCAGCCATACGGAGTTTCAGGTAGTCACCAAACCACATTGAAAACCTTGTTAGTCCTGGCTGGTTTGCCCAGGGCTCCCTCCAGCAGGCGGATGCAAGCTCCAGCTGCAGAGATGCTGTGCTCCTGAGCACGGGTCCCCTCGTCACTCCAGCCACCCCCTTCGTGAGCACTGGTTTCATGCCTCCACCGAATGGTCATGTGAAACAGCTACAGGCAGTGCTTGAAGCACCGTCAACAGGAAGGGAATGCCCAGCTGATCATCTGCCTCCCGAAGTACATACCACATCCCCCAGCATCACCACTGGTCATGGCCAGGGTGCACATCCCGCACTGGCTGTTGTGGGGGGGGAGAGCTGCCTCCAATGCACCCCCTTGCACAGCTTTGAGCTTCAGTAGACAAGCAGAAAAGAGCTTTCAGGCCCAAAGGTGCTCAATCACAGACACATGGTGTAATCAAGAAGTCTAGGAAGCCTTTAGAGAAGGCTCTGAAGCCTTTCAGCTCTACCCCAAGGCACAGCGGATACAGCATGACACCAGAAGCTGCCACCTTTGTCCTCAGAAAGCCAAGACACCCCCGACCCACAGACAGGGAAAGCAGCAGAAACACAACTCACAGCTCTGTGCTTCCCCAGGGAGCTGGAAAAGCCCCTTGGCAGGGGCAGTTCAGCCTTAGTGCAGGCAGGAGCCAAGGGCTCTAGGGATGGAGCCAGCTCCAAGCCCCGTCCCCACCATCCATCCCTGGGAGGGCTGCAAAGAGCCACCCTGAGCAAGAGGCTGCAGAGCCCCTGGGTAAACAAGGAGCATCCTGGGGGGGTCCCCCCAGCCCTGATCCAAGCCACAGCCCCACAACCACAGCCCAGCCTTACCTGGTTCCTCCGCTCCCAGCACCGACAGTGCTGGACCTCGCCCGCATAAATACCCCCGAGGGTTGATGGGCAGCTGAGGGAGCCAATCGAGACGCTGCAGGTGCTGCCCTGGCCAATGGGGAGGGGAGGGCAGAGAGAGGGGCGGGAGCTGGGGGGGTGGGGGGCAGGGGGGGGGCCATTCAGGGAGCTGCTGCTGGTGGTTGGGGGTTGCTGCTGGTTGGTTCCCCCAAAGAGGGACATCGGAGCCGGGGTGTCCATCCCCATGCACTGCGGGGGACATGCTATGGGGTCCGTTGCCCCACAGCAACCACGGACAGGGAGGTGGTGCTGGGGGATGCAGGTGGTGGAAGTCTATGGGAATCTGAGTTGTGGTTGTGAAATGGGCTCAGCCCATCACCCTGCAGGCACCGCTCCTGTTCCCGTGCCTCGGCTTAATCTCCGAGCTG